CTGGTGCCTCCTCCCGTGCCCTGATGCGCCACAGAAGTGGCTCTCTGAGGCTGCAGGAGGGGCTGGCAGGACTGGGAAGATGGATGGGAGCGGGGGCACGCCCAGTGGAGGGCACTGCGTGGGCCAGAGTACAGAGTGGGGCTGCAGCAGGGGGCTGGGGACTTTAGATCCAGTGACGTGTGCAGAAGGGAGCCATGGAAGGTTCCAGAGCGAGGGAGTCCTTGGGGAAGAATTGCTTAGCAGTGGCTTGCAGCCCCCAGAGCTGAGCTCACGTGGAGAAAGCCTGAGGGGCCCCTCCAACCACAAGGTGCCCTGGGAGTTAAATTTAAATCTTGGTTTGTATTAATAGAAATAGCTGGTGGAGATCCAAGGAGGTGATGCCAGCTCAAACCAACCCAATCTGGGCCAGAGGACTGGTGGGTGTGACAGCGAGTGTAGCCACAGACAGGGTGACCCAAATAGAGGTCCAGGGGCTGGGGCAGGAGTGTGAGCAGGAGGCATCAGAGAGGGAGGAGGCAGGCTGGGGCATTTGTGAGAGAGAACCACGAGGAGGGAGGGGCCCTGGGGTCCTTCAGTGAGAGGATCCAGCACCAAGGAAGTGTGTGCTGGGTGCTGCAGGCAGCAGGGGTTGGGTGGCGAGGGCGACCTTGAGCCCAGATGAGTGAGCAGGGCAGGAGTCAAGTACACAGACAGAGCCGGGTACATGACATTTGGCAACTGTCTCTGCTGCCGTCATCATGCTTAGTGCCCAGGGGATTGAGACCTCCCGGCTCCTTTGCCCGCGTAGTCAAAGACACTGAGGCCTGATGGACGTCTGGAAAACTAGAGGCCAATTCTGACGCATTCTGGGATTTGACAAACGCATTCAGCTGAGAAACTGCCAGTGCCACAAGACACAGACGAATCCCCCTGCTCCCTCCTGCCCCACTGTTGTCAGTCCCTCCCCTGCCCCCTCGCACCCACTGATGTGTTCCCCATAACTGCAGAGAGAGAGAGAGAGAGACAGAGATATCGAGAGATCTTCCATACACTGGTTTACACCCCAGATGGTGACAATAGCTGAGGCTGGGCCAGGTCAAAGCTAGGAGCCTAGAGCTCCATCCTGGTCTCCCACGTGGATGGCAGGGACCTGAGCACTTTGGACCATCTTCTGCTGCTTTCCCAGGCACATCAGCAGGGAGCTGGATCAGGAGTGGAGCAGCTGGGACTTGAACTGGCACTCGTACAGGATGCTGGCATCACAGGTGGTGGTGTCACCTGCTGCACCACAACACTGGACCTGTATTAGCATCTCTCTCTCTTAAGGTATATTTATTTGAAAGGCAGAGTTACACATAGAGGCAGAGAGAGAGAGGGAGAGATTGGTCTTCTATCTGCTGGTTTATTTCTCTAATGGCCACAACGGCCAGATCTGGAGGCAGGAGCCAGGAGTTTCTTCTGGGTCTTCCACGTGGGTGCAGGGGACCAAGTGCAAGGGGCCACCTTTCACTACTCTACCCAGGTGCATTAGCAGGGAGCTGGTTTGGAAGTGGAGCAGATGAGTCTTTTTTTTTTTTTTTTTTTTTTGACAGGCAGAGTGGACAGTGAGAGACAGAGACAGAGAGAAAGGTCTTCCTTTGCCGTTGGTTCACCCTCCAATGGCCGCCGTGGCCAGTGCACTGCGGCTGGCGCACTGCGCTGATCCGATGGCAGGAGCCAGGTGCTTCTCCTGGTCTCCCATGGGGTGCAGGGCCCAAGCACCTGGGCCATCCTCCACTGCACTCCCTGGCCACAGCAGAGAGCTGGCCTGGAAGAGGGGCAACCGGGACAGAATCTGGTGCCCTGACTGGGACTAGAACCCAGTGTGCCGGCGCTGCAAGGCGGAGGATTAGCCTAGTGAGCCGTGGCACCGGCCGCAGCTGAGTCTTGAACCTGTGCCCATGTGGGATGCCAGCACAGCAGGCTGTGGTTTTACCTGCTGTGCCGCAGCACCGGCCCTAGCATTTCTTTTCATTCAGTTTCACTGCAGGCATGCACCACAGTTTGTTTACTCATGTGCTGAGAAACATTTAAGTTGTTCCCAGTTTTGAGCAGTTTCGGATAGGACGGCTTTAGCTGCCTCATTTCAGGTTTCTGAGTGGGTGGCAATTTCCGTGTCTCTGGTTCGGAGTGAGTCCCTGGCAGCCCTGGGGACTCTTTCTAAACACTTAGGGAGTGGTCACCTGCTTCTTGGCTGGGGGTGGGGGGTGTCACAACTGCAGTCCCTTATTCATTGCTGAGACACCTGCCGGCCTGTAACAGTTGGGGCGTTCAGACTCCCCTAGACGCTGGCCCTCCCGGAAGCATCAGAAACCATCCAGTGAGAGCTGCCCTCACCCACCTGAGTCACCCGATCCCACTCCCGTGGCTTCCTCTCTGTCCCTGCATGCCCTTGGCCTTCAACGCTTCTGCTGTACCCCTGCTTGCTTCTGCTTATGCCCCAGGCCTTGCCAGGCCCAGCTTAGTAGAGAAACAACTGCTAGAGAGAGAGAGAGAGAGAGAGAGAGAGAGAGGAGTGAGCATTTGCCCAACAACTTACAAATACACCAAGAGTGGAGAGAATTAACGCCCACCCATCATCTGCTCCCTTGATTTCCATCTTACTGTATTTCCTTGATCACCGACACTCTCTCCCCACGATTCATAGATTCCGTATTTGCAAGTTCCCCTGCGTGTGGAGGCTGGTTTGTAGCCTCAGTGCTGACGTGGTGCGGCTGTGATCCTTCAGCCACACAGAGCGGCAAAGCCCTTGAGTCACCTGCTGAGGAAGAACCCAGCGTCCACTCTGCCTTCCTGTTTCCTTCCATACTGTCAATAAGTGTCTTTGCCCTGGCCTGTGTGGTGCCACGTTTTGTGAAATTTTTTGAGACCTATTTTGATTACTATAGTTCATGTATTGACTTTCACTTTATTTGAAAAGGGGAGAGAAAGAGAGAGAGAGAGAAAGAGAGAGAGGGAGAACCTACATTGGTTCACCTCCCAAATGCCTGTAACATCAAAGGCTGGCCTGCGCCCAGAACACAGTCATGGTCTCCCACGTGGGTGGCAGGGACTCAAATACTTGAACCATCACCTGCTCCTCCCAGGAAGGAAGTGGAGCCACGACTCACCAAACAGTTTGCTACTGAGTGCAGGCATCGGGAGTGTCGTCTTAGCACTGACAACTGGCTCTCGCCACCTTTGTGACGTTCCGTGCTGTCTGTTGGTGACTTCACTGGGTAAAATGGCCCCACACATCAGCTGACATGCTGTCTGGCTCCTAAGTGGAAGAAGGCTGTGATGTGCCCTAGGGAAAAAACACCAGCTGGGTGAGATAAGAGCTACAGTGCAGTGGGCTGATTCAACCTTAACAAATCAGCGGTGTGTATTAAACCAGCCGTCTTTCAACGGAACACACAGGCTACGTATCAATTGTTGATGACAATGCTGTGACCAGAGTCTCGCAGGAAACTAACTGTGTTTCTGCGAGGAGTGATGGTTGCATGTTTGCTAACTTAGTACTTGTGATGACTTTATAGAACTTCCGTGAAGAACATAAGTGATGGTGTCTGTCTCTCCACTCCCCTCTACCCATCAACCCATGGTGTTTTGGCCTTTCAAAGCCAATCACAGTCATCAGGACCCTTCAGAACAAAACAGTTCTGTATGCAGATCCTTAATAGTTTGTGGTTCTTTTCATTGAAGGGGTATCAAACACCATGAAATGAACAAATCCTAGGCACACATTTTCTGAGTTTTGGGAAATTCAGACACCGTGTAACCAAGCCCTATGAAGACACAGGACCACCATCACCCCCGGAAGTTGAGGGCCGACCATTTTAAGTAATCCTCATGACCTGTCTACCTTAATTCCTTCTCCCTGCAATCATCCATCCAACTGTGCTTAACGGCTGTGTCACAGTCCACACGGGGGCACACCTGAGGCTCCTAACCTGTGCAGATGGATATGCAGGTTGGTCTCTGCTTGTGTTAAGACAGCAGAAGAGCAGGAAGGGGGAATTGCTGAGGCCGAAGGGAGCCGGTGGAAGAGGGAGGAGAGAAGCTTCCTTGGACGAGCAAGGCTAGTCCCCGCTCCAGGACATTGGCACGTGCTGTCCCTCTGCCTGGTGCTCTTCCCACGCTTTTTGAAAAATCAGCTCCTCCCATCCTTTAGATCTTAGCTCACAAGCTGCCCCAGAGCAGGAGCCCAGCCCGGCCATGGCTACCTCCCTCACTTAGTATCACTCTGTGTTATTTCCTTTAGAATCCCGGCCTCCGTCTGTAATTATTCTTTTTTTTAAAGGAAAAAATTTATTTATTTACTTTGAAAGAGTTATAGAGAGGACGAAAGAGAGAGAGAGAGAGAATATCTTCCATCAGCTGTTTTACTTCCCAAATGGCTGCAAAGGCCAGGATTGGGCCAGGCAAAGCCAGGAGCCAGGAGCTTCTTCCGGGTCTCCCATGTGAGGGTGCAGGGACCCAAGCACTTGGGTGGTCATCTCTGCTTTCCCGGCCGTTAGTAAGGATCTGGGTCAGAAGTGGAGCAGCTGGGACACGAATGGTGCCCATGTGGGATGTGGGGATCGCAAGACTGGGGCTTTATCCGCTGGGCCACAGCACTGGGCTCTGTAGCCATTATTTTGTCCCTTTGTTCACCATACCCATCCCGCTCCTTAGAGTGCATCTGAAACACAGAGAATCCAATGCGTGCTTGGGAGATGAACCGCGGCTCCAGGTGCAGGTGTTGGCGGGGGGCCACTAGTTGGGGTGTCCCGCCCTTCTGCACAAGGTCTTTGAAAAGGCAGAGGTGCGTTTGCTCCGTGCCCAGCAAACTGCGGTCGACTGTAGCACAGGGCAGGCTCTGCACGCTGGGCGCGCTCCTCTGTGCCACACAGAGGCCCCTCCGTGCGCGTATCTCCTGCCACGTCCAGGCCCGACCAACCGGGCTCAGGACCGGCAGCGGAGGCCCTGACGTGCGTCCCATGTCCGATCTGAACCCGCAGGGTGTGTTGAGGCGCCCAGGCGCTCAGCCTGCGAGGGGCGGCGGCGGCCATGCCGGACCCCGCGGCGCACCTGCCCTTCTTCTACGGCAGCATCTCGCGCGCCGAGGCCGAGGAGCACCTGAAGCTGGCGGGCATGGCCGACGGGCTGTTCCTGCTGCGCCAGTGCCTGCGCTCGCTGGGCGGCTACGTGTTGTCGCTGGTGCACGACGTGCGCTTCCACCATTTCCCCATCGAGCGCCAGCTCAATGGCACGTACGCCATCGCGGGCGGGAAGGCGCACTGCGGCCCGGCCGAGCTCTGCGAATTCTACTCGCGCGACCCCGACGGTCTGCCCTGCAACCTGCGCAAGCCCTGCAACCGGCCATCGGGCCTCGAGCCGCAGCCCGGAGTCTTCGACTGCCTGCGCGACGCCATGGTGCGTGACTACGTGCGCCAGACGTGGAAGCTGGAGGTGAGCGCTTGGGGCCCAGGGCGGGGCCATGGGGAGGGCGGAGCTCTCTGGGGCTGCTCGTGTTTGGAAGCTGCAAGAGTGGGGCCCGGTTGGGGGCGGTATCTGGGTAGAGGGCTTGGAGGCAGGGGGCCTGAGAGGATGCTGCGTGGGGCACGGATGCGCCCTGGGATGGGGTGGTCAAAGGGGTGGCTGGACAACTTGCACCGGGTGGTGCGCTTAGCGGGGAGCTGGAATGTGGCATCTGGGACATGGTCACCCCTTGCATGGACTGGGGAGGGGCCATAGAGATGGAGGAGGCTGTCCCCAGCTGCCTGCAGACACATCCTAGGGGCGTTTGGTGGGGCGAGCAGGAGGGTCCAGGTGATGGAAGAGGGTTCCAGTGGCTGTGCCCCTGGCCCTATAACAGCCTCCCCGCCCCTCCGTTCTTAGGGTGAGGCCCTGGAGCAAGCCATCATCAGCCAGGCCCCTCAGGTGGAGAAGCTCATTGCCACGACAGCCCACGAGCGGATGCCCTGGTACCACAGCAGCCTGACGCGCGAGGAGGCTGAGCGCAAACTCTACTCCGGCGCTCAGACCGACGGCAAGTTTCTGTACGTCGGGCCTGTGGGCTACGGCCTGTGGTTTCCGGGTGGTGAGAGCTGGGGCTTGTGAGCTGGGCTCCTGGGGGCTGGGGCAGACCTGAGTGTGCAGGAGGCCCACGAGGGGTGTGCACGAGGCCGTGAGGTTTTCTTGCGCAGAGGGGCTTTTCTATGACAAAGCAGCGGCCGTGACTTGGAAAGCCTCCAGAGCCTGTTGGTCTGGCTGGGAATCCCGGGTCTGCCTCCTGCTGGCTGTGGACATTGGACAATATGGGGACTTCTGCCCGGCTCCAGTCCCCAAGTGTATACTGAATGCCTGCTGGGTAGGAGCAGGGAGCCCAGCAGACACAAGTGCCTGCCCGCTAAAAGATGAATCGATAGAATACAGACTCTGCCAGCGGGTGGTCAGTGGTACCTGTGTGCAGGTGGGGCGGACAGGTGATGCTAGATTAGGGCTGGGGTAGGCCTCCCTGAGAAGGTGACTTTTGCTAAAAGATAGATTTTTTTTCCTTTCTTTGAAAGGCAGAGTTTCTCTCTCTCTCTCTCTCTCTCTCACACACACACACACACACACACACACACACACACAATCTTCCATCTGCTGGTTCACTCCACAAATGGCTGCAACAGCCAGAATGGGTGAGGCTGAAGCCAGGAGCCTGGAACTCCATCTAGGCCTCCCACGTGGGTGCAGAGACCCAAGTCCTTGGGCCAGCCTCTGTTGCCTCCCAGGTGCATTAGCAGGGAGCTGACTCAGAGGCAGAGGGTATGGGGCTTTGATGGCGCTGGGATGGTGGAGTTGCAACTGGCAGCTTTACCTGCTGTGCCACAATGCTGGCCCCCTGAGAATGTGACTTTTGAGTAACTGAGCAAAAGAGGTGAGAAGTAAGTGGTGTTGGAGCCGGCGCTGTGGTGTAGTGGGTAAAGCCGCCGCCTGTGGTGCTGGCATCCCATATAGGTGCTAGTTCGAGGCCCAGCTGCTCCACTTCTGATCTGGCTCTCTGCTATGGCCTGGGAAAGCAGTAGAAGATGGCCCAAGTGCTTGGGCCCCTGCACCCACATGGGAGACCCGGAGGAAGTTCCTGGCTCCTGGCTTCAGATTGACTCAGCTCCACGGGTTCACACTTGGGGAGTGAACCCACGAATGGAAGACCTTTCACTCTGTCTCCCCTTTTCTCTCTGTGTAACTCTGAATAAATAATTTTTTTTTAAAGAAGTGAGTGGTGTAGCTTTCAGGTGGCATGGTGTTCCTGGCCCTTGTATGGAGATGGCAAGTTCAAAGGTCAGGAGGCTGGGATTTATCTGGTGCATTGGAGAGACATAGAGGGGGCCAGTTATGGTGGCACAGGTGTGCCTGGAGCTGAGGGAGGGAGGAGAGAGTGGCGGAGAGGAGGGCAGGGAGGTGAGTTTGGCTTTTGACCTAAGTGAGGCAGGAGCCCTGAAGGGTGTGAAGCAAGTCTCTCTGACTGCTGGAGATGGTAGCAGCTGTTATAGAGAGTGCATGCATTAGCACACGTGCTGCGATGGGACAGTACCTGACACATATGAAAATGCACCAGGTGTTAGCTCTTGTTACCTGTGGGTGAGCATGTGTGTGCATGCATCAGCTGTGGCTGTCTGCGAAGGAATCTTTGTTTTTAAAAAGATTTATTTAGCCGGCGCCGCGGCTCACTAGGCTAATCCTCCGCCTAGCGGCGCCGGCACACCAGGTTCTAGTCCCGGTCGGGGCACCGGATTCTGTCCCAGTTGCCCCTCTTCCAGGCCAGCCCTCTGCTGTGGCCAGGGAGTGCAGTGGAGGATGGCCCAGGTGCTTGGGCCCTGCACCCCATGGGAGACCAGGAAAAGCACCTGGCTCCTGGCTCCTGCCATCGGATCAGCGCGGTGCGCCGGCCGCAGCGCGCCGGCCGCGGCGGCCATTGGAGGGTGAACCAACGGCAAAAGGAAGACCTTTCTCTCTGTCTCTCTCTCTCTCACTGTCCACTCTGCCTGTCAAAAAAAAAAAAAAAAAAGATTTATTTATTTGAAAGTCAGAGTTACACACAGAGAGAAGGAGAGCCAGAGAGAGAGAGAGAGAGAGAGAGTCTTCCAACTGCTGGTTCATTCCCCAGTTGGCTGACATGGACAGAGCTGCACCCATCTGAAGCCAGGAGCCATGAGCTTCTTCCGGGCCTCCCATGTGGGTACAGGGGCCCAAGGACTTGGGCCATTTCTACTGCTTTCCCAGGCAATAGCAGAGAGCTGGATTGGAAGTGGAGCAGCCGGGACTTGAACTGGTGCCCATATGGGTGCCAGCTCTGCAGGTGGCAGCTTTACCTGCTACATCACAGCGCTGCCCCCTCCCTTTTTAAAGATTCTTATTTATTTATTTGAAAGGCAGAGCTACAGGGAGGCAGAGGCAGAGAGAGAGACAAAGGTGTCTTCCATCCACTGGGTCATGCCCCAAATGGCTGCAATGGCCAGAGCTGGGCTGATCCAAAGTCAGAAGCTAGGAGTTTCTTCTGGGTCTCCCACGCGGGTGCTGGGGCCCATCCTCTACTGCTTTCCCAAGCCGTAGTGGAGAGCTGGATCAGAAATGGAGCAGCCAGGATTCAAACCGGCACCTATATGGGATGCCGGCACTGCAGGCAGCGGCTTTACCCACTGTGCCACAGTGCCAGCCCCAGGAATCTTTAAAGCTATTTAAAAACCTCTGCTGAGTGTTTGCCAGCCCTGCTGGGCTCATGCTTTCCGATTTGCTCATGGATTCTTTTGTATACCAGTTGCTGATTAGAAGTCAGCTGAGGTCACTCAGGCCTCAAGGTATAGAGCAACTTGGCCCTGGCCTCTCTCCTATGACCTCAGGAAATCCAGTGACCCCTTCAAGAGGTCTGTGGGGGACAATTCCTGGGGCTCCCTTCTCATGGCCTGAGTTCCTGCCTGGCTGAATCCTCGCCATCCCTACCATCCCTCTCCTGGGCCATCCCACTGGGATTCCCTTGATTTCCCACACTCATGCGAGGTGTGTGTGATTGCCTGCAAGCCTCCCACATGATACAGCTTCCTCCCCGCGATTCTACCATCAGCTGATGAAATAATCATTTCCATTCCACTTTGCTACTATAGTTTGGATATGTTTAGTTTGGGGGTCCCCCAACAGCCCATGTGTTAGGGCCTTGGTCTCTAAAGTCTTATGTTGATGATTAATGGGTTAAGGGTTGGCGTAGTTAGGAGGTAGCCTAGTGGAAGGTCTTTAGATCACTGTGGGTGTAGCCTTAGGAGTTACTTCTCTCTCCAGGCCAGTGACAGGCCTGGGATGGGCCTGGCCTATCTCTGTGCTGGCTCACATGAGGGCCTTCCTCCCCATGCCCCTGCTGTCTGTCATTGTCCTCCAGCTTCTTCAGTTGGCCAAACCAAGAAGGCCTTCTCGATCTTGGACTGTGAACCTCCAAAACTGTGAGCTGAACTAAACCTCTTTCTTTCCCAAGTATCTCCTCTCGGGCATTTGCCACAGGGACAGAACACTGACCAATATACTCACAACTTTGAGATATAAAATGAGGTGATGTTGCCAAGGCTTTGAAGGGGGTCCTTGAATGCACATTACGGATAATGCCCAGCTGCCAGGATTGCTGCGTGCAACTTAAGGTTGGGCTGTTTCCTGGTCTGAGAGGAAGCCTCTGCACCTGGCCCACTTAGAATTCCCTCTGTAATAAACTGCCCCAGGGCTCACCGGCTTGAAGCACTGGTTACTGCTTGTGAATCTGGGCCCAGCTGAGTAGGTCTTCTGGTTCCAGTCAACTGGACGGGGACTGAGCAGGTTGGGGTGGCCGTGTTCACATTGTGTCAGTGTCTGGCCGTTGTGTCAGTGTCAGGTGGGTGATGGGGGTGATCTGGCTGGGGTGCAGTCGTCATCCAGCAAACGAGCCCAGGTTCATCCATGTGGCAGTGGTTGGGGGGTTCCCAGGAATGGTCAGAGAGGGTACGTTTCAAGACACAGCTGCATTCCAAGTCTCTGCTTATGTACTGGTATTGATGTCCTGTTGGCCAAAGCAAGCCGTGTGGTCCAAACCAAAGTTACTGAGAGGAGGGGGCTACCCAAGGGAGAATTGTTGAGGCAGGCATATTTTTTAAAAAGATGTATTTATGTATTTGAAAGACAGAGTTACAGAGAGAGGGGGAGAGACAGAGAGCGAGAGCGAGAGCGAGAGCGAGAGAGAGAGAGAGAGAGAGAGAGATCTTCCATCTGCTGGTTCACTCCTCAAATAACCACAATGACCAGGACTGGGCCAGGCTGAAGTCAGGAGCCAGGAGCTTCATCTGGTTCTCCCACGTGGGTGGCAGGGGTCCAGACACTTGGGCCATCTGCTGTTTTCCCAAGCACATTAATAGGGATCTGGGTCAGAAGTGGAGCAGCTGGAACTCAAACTGACACTTGAATGGGCTGCTGGTGCTGCAGGCAGGGGCTCAACCTGCTATGCCACAGCACTGGCCCCAAGGCGGGGGGTTTTGCAGCCTGTCATGGGGTTGGAACAGGGGTGTCATAGTGAAGGTGTGGACATCTCAGACATGGGATTTGGAGCTCTTTCTTTCCTTTTGGTCCATGGATTTGAGGGTAGGATCTGCCTGCATTGGTATACCTGGAGGGCCACATATTTAGCACGTTGTGATGGCTGGTCCTGATGTTATCAATCTTCATCTGGGTGCTGCACCTCCCCCAGTGTGGCACTAAGATGTCACTAACTGGGTTGCATATCTCACGCACAGTCCTCTCCCACTTCCCCTTGCGCATTTTACCCTAGGTGCCTGAGTGCGGGGGCGCTCCCCTGGCTGGATGCGACAAAGGGAGTTGCTGCCACTTTTCCTGTTGCCATAGACATGTCTCTGCATCTCCACTCCCTCCTTCATAAAATACATTTTCACCTTTCTTTGGCCATGTAATCCGGGTTTCCTTCTCTGGGTTTCTCTCAAGTCCCCAACATAGCATTTTTTTAAAAAAAGTTTTTAGTTATTTATTTGAGAAGTAGAGTTACAGACAGAGATGGGAAGATAGAGAGAGAGGTCTTCCATCCACTGGTTCACTCCCCAGATGGCCACAATGGCCGGAGCTGTCCTGATCTGAAGCCAGGAGCCAGGAGCTTCTTCTGGGTTTCCCATGCAGGTACAGGGGCCCAAGCACTTGAGCCATCATCTGCTGCTTTCCCAGGCACATTAGCAGGGAGCTGGATTGGAAGTGGAACAGCCAGGACTTGAACTGGCACTCATATGGGATGGAGGCAGCAGGTTCTCCATTTATTCACTCTTGATTAGAAGGGTTGTCAGTTTGGACTAAGTTCAGCTGGATGGTTCTTCTACTGGTTTGTAAAAATTATTTGTGTGTGTGTTTGAGAGTGCACTCCTGTTTGCTGGGCTCCCCAAATGTACACAGCAACCCAGGGTCTGAGGCCTGGAACTGGGGACTCCATCCAGGTCTCCTCTGTGGGTGGCGAGGACCCAACTACTTGAGCCATCACTGCTGCCTCCCAGGGTCCACATTAGCAGGAAGCTGGAATCAGTAGTGTCTGCAGCTGGGGTTTGAACCCACGCATTCCAGTATGAGATGCAGTTTCCTAACTGGTGTCTCCACTCCCATGCCAAAGGCCTGCCCCTTCTGCTAGGACCTTGAGCTGGTGCTTGGAAGGCCGACTGGGGCTGGATGCACTAGGATGACTTCATTCACGTGTCAGGCAGCTGGTTCACCCACGTGGCTTCTCTGGTGGCTGGCCTGGACTCAACCCCATGGTGGTTGCAGGGTCACCAGGAAAGTACGCGTGGGCAGGTAGGCCTCAGGGCTCAACCATTTTTCAAGCCTCTGTTTGTGTTATCTCTACGAACGTCTTATTGGCCAATGCTAGTCCCATGGTTGCACCCTGATTCAGGAGATGGAGAACCAGATGCCATCAGTGGGTGGGAAAAGCTGCTAAAACTGGGGTGTTCTTTTTCAATATTGTACACATACATCACACGCATGGATACACATTTGCTGGTGAGCAGCTCAGCACCGTGTCTCTGTTTGAAACTTTTTTAAAAAAAGATTATTTATTTGAAAGTCAGAGTTATAGACAGAGAGAAAGAGAGGCGGGGGGGGGGGAGGAGAAGGAGAGGGAGAGGGAGGGAGGGAGAGAAAGAGAGAGAGAGGGAGAGAAGGAGGGAGGGATGGAGAGGTCTTCCATCAGCTGGTTCACTCCCCAGTTGGCTGCAACAGCCAGAGCTGGGCTGATCCAAAGCCAGGAGCCTGGAGATTCCTGCAGGTCTCCCATGTGGGTGCAAGGACCCAAGGCCTTGGGCCATCTTCTACTGCTTTCTCAGGCCGTAGCAGAGAGCTGGATCAGAAGTGGAGCAGCCGGGACTTGAACCAGTGTGCCTATGGGATGCCAGCAGTGCAGGCAGCGGCTTTACCCACTACACCACAGCGCCGGCCCTTGTTTGAAATTAAGAGTGTGCCCCTCAGGAGGTTTTCTCACCTCTCACAGGAAGGGAACTAGTTGCTCGAGGCCATAGCCCAAGGCTAGCCCAGCAGTCTAGTTACAGAAGTGACCTCTCTGTGGGACGTTTCGTTGTTCAGTTGGTTGTGGAGTTCTCTTCCTTGCCTTTCGGTTCTTCCTTATCGCACCCCACCCTGGTATCCTGTCTTCCGTGTATCTTCAGATGGATGTGGGCTAGCCTGGGAACTGTGTTACTCTTCACTACATCGCTCTCTAGAGAACAGGCTTGCAGGAACGGGTCATGGTTACAGCCGTCCCTCTATCAGGGCCCTCTGTGGTGGCTTGGGGGACACTGCCCTGTTCCTTTGGCCTTGGGGAGGGCCACAGTGCGAGGTGGGCTCACCTCTGTCTCGCTCACTGCAGCACCTGGCCTGTGGGCGATACTCACCACTGTCTCCGGAATGAGTGAACGCTGTGGCAGGACGCACGCCCCACTGGAGTTTAAACCTCGAGGGGGTCCACTCGCAGGCCATCTGATGGCTCGCCCCGCTGCCCGCAGCCAGCCAGCCAGCCCTTTGTGACTCGGTGCAGTCCCAGGGATTAGCCGCCAGCCAGGGACAGCTTCCAGAGCTCGGAGACCCCGGGAGCAGCTGCCTCCCTCCTCCCTGGGAAACCTACGCTTAACCCTGGCACAGACTGTGCCGCTGACTCCAAACAAAGCTACTTTGTGAGTGATGCTGACCAGTGGGGTTTCCTGCGAGGGTGCCAGTGTGTGCGTGCCTGAGTGTGTGTGCGTTTGAGTGGATGGGCTCTTGCCACACCATCTTTGAGGAGCTCACTTGCCATCCCAGCCATTGAAAACGTGTGTATTCACTTTGGCAAATTTCCAGCAGAAGGCAATGGCGGTGTCATTGCATGGGAGGCCAGTGTGTCACCAGAGCTGGGCGATCTCCTGTGATGACAGGGTCACCCCTTCTGCCTTTGCATGAGCCGCCTTGAGAGCTTGTCACGGCCTGTGTTACCTGTGTGGGTCTTGTGTAGAAATGGCTTTCTTTCAGCCTATCTGCTGAAGAGCGTGTGTCCCCTTGTGAGTGGCTTGGCGTCTGTCATAAATGGCCGAAGTCCTTCTAGGCTTGGCCAAGTGCCCCCGCGGGTTCCTGAGTGCCTTTTGTGGGTGGCTGTCTTCTATTGGATGGTAGGTGTCTGGGCACGGGAAGCCAAGTATTCAACCATGGAGGGCCAGGTGCCCCCTGTGGAGTGGTACTCTGCCCCCACCACGGGCGAGGGCCCAGCCATGAGTGGCTGAGTGCGTGGTCACGCAGGGCTGTGCAGCTGCAGTGGGAGGGGGCAGCGATTCCCCACGAATGGCTGCACCGGACCCTTGGATGACTATGAGTTCCCCTCCCCCACGCTGACTTGTTAGCAGGACTGACCTTGGCCTCCCCGTCCCTGCTGCTTTTCCATGAGGCTCTGGGATGTGGGGCCCGTCAGGTGGAAACTGAGGCAGAGCAGGAGGACACCCAGGGGGCTGTAGGGATGACACGCCTTCCTTGCCTGCGCCAGGCTGAGGCCCCGGAAGGAACAGGGCACATACGCACTGTCCCTGGTCTACGGGAAAACCGTGTACCACTACCTCATCAGCCAGGACAAGGCGGGCAAATACTGCATTCCGGAAGGCACCAAGTTCGACACGCTCTGGCAGGTAGGCCGCTCAGGCACCCAGTGCCCCCCGACCCTGCCCAGGCAGATGCTGGGAGGCGAGGAGGCCCCGCTGACGCCCTCTGCCGGCAGCTTGTGGAATACCTGAAGCTGAAGGCGGACGGGCTCATCTACTGCCTGAAGGAGGCGTGTCCCAACTCCAGCGCCAGTGCCGCAGCAGGTGCGCAGGCTCGCGGGTGGGCCAGCGAGGGGCGGGCAGGAGCCCCACCCCCATACTCACTGGCCTCTCTGCTCCCCCAGGGACCGCTGCTCCCACACTCCCGGCCCACCCATCCACGTTCACCCAAGTGAGTCAGCCGGCATCAGAGTCGGGGGTCCGGGGGTGGAGCTGGGTGTGTGGGGGAGGACGAGAGGGTCTCCACCAGCACTGTTTCTGGGGGAGGAGTCTACTAAGAGGGGCTGGGCACCCCCAGCTCGGGCCCTGCTGACCATGGCTGACACCATGACCTTTGGCCTCAGAGACGAATGGACACCCTCAACTCAGATGGGTACACCCCCGAACCAGGATACACCCCCGAGCCAGGTGAGCTGCCGAGGTGGAGATGTCGGGGTGCAAAGCAGGGCCCCTGGCTGGGAGGGGCCAGGCCTGCAGGGCTGACTTGGCTGGCTCTGTGCACACGCGTGCCTCCGCCATCACACCTCCCCGGTGTGTGTGCTGACATGCAGGACGCGACCCTGGCCCCCAGGTTCCCCACACAGACCTTTGCTGAGGGCCTCCTGTGTGCCAGTCACAACCCCAGGCCACCATGGGACACACTCATGGGATCCCATGGATGGCAGTGCTTTGGTGGAGGAGAAGGGGAGGGCGGGTCTCTAAGGTCCCGCGGCTGGGGTTTGAACCCGGGCAGGCAGACTCTGCTGTGGCTGCTCTTGTGTGGACAGAGAGCATATGTGGTTACATGTGCACCCGGGGGCCCACCTTTGGAGGCGTCGCAAGCATGACTGTGGTGCACACATGGACAGACCTGATTGTAGCTGTGCATGTGTGTACGCGTGTGTGTGTGTATGTGTGCGCGAGTGCACCAGCTGGCACCCTGTGGGTGACACGTGGACACTGTCGCACGTGCTTCCAGAGCCCACCTGCACATGGCTCTCCAGGCCCCCACAGATGTGACCAGCAGCGTGAGCAAGTGCACATGTGGACACACACACACACGAACATGTGTGCCCTCACTTGCCTGTGTGTGCTCTGGGCAGGTGCCCTTTGGCTGGGTCATGTGCTGTGTGGGGGCTGAGTTGCCCTGCCCGCCCTGCCCTGGCCCCTGTCCCCACCCTCTGCCCGGGACTGCACGGCTGTGTGTGTCCCTAGCGCGCCTAGCTTCCCCAGAGAAGCCGCGGCCGATGCCCATGGACACGAGCGTGTATGAGAGCCCCTACAGCGACCCCGAGGAGCTCAAGGACAAGAAGCTCTTCCTGAAGCGTGAGAACCTCCTTGTGGCTGACATCGAACTTGGCTGCGGCAACTTTGGCTCCGTGCGCCAGGGCGTCTACCGCATGCGCAAGTATGGCCACCCCTGCAGCTGTTGGGGTGGGGGCGGGCAGTGGGAGCTGGGATGTCTGTCTGTCTTAGAGACAGACTCTTGGACAGGACACTGCTTGTTGGAGGCCTCCCCGAGACAGATTGGAGGCACTTGGGGAGCGGCAGATGGAGGTCTGGGCCAGGGAAGGGTTGGGCTGAGCTGCACAGCCCCTGCCTCCCCTGGCCCCTGCCTCTGCTGCTGCTGGTGGGATCCAGGTCACCCTGGGGAGGTTGTCACTGGCAGGGGTGGTTTTCAGTGAGGGCCCTGGCTATGAGTTGTCTTCTTGACCACTGGAGGAGTGAATGCCTTGGCCTCAGTCGGGGCGGTGAGCATCATGCGCGCAGGGGAGAAGAGAGGTGGGTGCGTGGGAACAGGGCTGGCTCAGCCCTGTGTGTCCTGCCTGGCTGTGCATCGTGGCAGGAAGCAGATCGATGTGGCCATCAAGGTGCTGAAGCACAGCACGGAGAAGGCGGACAAGGACGAGATGATGCGTGAGGCGCAGATCATGCACCAGCTGGACAACCCCTACATCGTGCGGCTCATCGGCGTGTGCCAGGCAGAGGCCCTCATGCTGGTCATGGAGATGGCGGGCGGCGGGCCCCTGCACAAGTTCCTGCTGGGGAAGAAGTGAGTTCCCCCCGGGCAGGCCTGTGGGTCGGGGCTGTGGGCGAGGGTGTGTGGGGCTCATCCCGTGCAGCCCTGGGTGGGACGGCACTCACGCTGCTGCTAGGGCTGTGCACACACCACACGCAGGTTCACACTTCGGGGACACCCACATGTGTCCACAAGGGGGAGCTGCCAGCTCCCCGTTCCCCCATTTGTATCACTGCAGCGATAACAGTACCTAACATCGGGACCTGACCAGCATCAGCACTGCTAGGGAGGGCTGCACCAGTGGCACCCAGCCTCTCAGGCCGGCTTCCTCACTGCTGGGAAAGTGCAGGGGTGGTGGTCTCTCACCTGGAGCAGCCTGCAACCTGCAGCTTGGTCTTGTGCTATAGTTTTTAGGGTGTTTTTTTTTAAACATTTATTTATTTGAGAAGCAGAGTTACAGAGAGAGGGAGAGACAGAGAGAGAGGTCTTCCATCCATTGGTTCATTCCCCAAATGCCTGCAAAGGCCAGAGCTGGGCCAATCCGAAGCCCAGAGCCAGGAGCTCCTTCTGGGTCTCCCACACGGGTGCAGGGGCCCAGCAGAGAGCTGGATCGGAAGTGGAGCAGCCAGAACCCACAGGTGGAGGCTTTGCTATGATGCCACAGCGCCAGCTCCTATAGTTCATTTCTTAGAGGTTAAACACAAGAATACGGAAGAGAGCCCATAGATGGCATCTATAGGTGAAAATATTCACTCTCTGCCCCTTCACTGAAAGGCTGTAGCCTTTTCTTAGTGCCGCCTGGGGCTCCGGACTCCTGCCCTCATGGCCAGGCATCTCTGTGCTCCCTGGGGGACGCTGTGCCGCTCCACGCTCTCTGAAGTGCTCCACGCTCTCTGTGGCGCACCTGCCTTCATGGTGCGCCCTGCTCACAATCAGTCCTGGAGCGGGTATCTGTCGGGCAGTTGCTCTGTGGCAGGAGTAACTGGTGCCGACACCTGGGATCATCAGCAAATACAAGAGCAAAGATGCGTGCCCTGTTCCCTGGTTGGAGAAGTGAAGCAGTAAACAATCATGATAAAACAGAGCGGGGCACTGGAGAGAAGGGAGTAGGGCAGGCCAGGGGCACGGGCGTGCCGGGGTGGGAGCCCCAGGGAGAATGGGAGGTTTGGGCAGACTTGGGGGGGCAGCTAAGCACAGATCCATGGGAGAACATTCCAAGCAGAGGGTACCACCTGTGCAAAGGCCCTGGGGTGGGCTCCAGTTCCCACTGTTGTGGGAACAGTGGAGACAGAGTGTGGGCAGGGAGATGATGCAAAGCCTTGTGGGCTACCAGGGGGACTTGGACTTTTGCCCTGAGTAAGGGGGGAGCTCTGGGAGGGGCAGGATCTGATGCAGCTGGGGACTGGACAAGATTGTGCGAGGCCTGGGCAGAGCTGACAGTTCTAGTCCAGGCGGTGCTGATGAGGGGCTGGTTAGGCTGTTGGAAGCAGTGGGAAGATTCCGGAGCACTTCTGACCACAGAGCTGCGGGGCTTGCTGTGAGTGAAAGGTGATGGAGGGCAGAGCGCCTGGGGAAGATGGGACGTGGCTGGGGGGGGCTCAGCCTTGGCTGCATTTGAGGAGCCTGAGGGACAAGCTTGGGGGGGTCACAGCATAGGGTGACACTTCAGCCTGGAGCCTTCTTCGCACTGTGACCCCAGCCCCAGGCCTGGCACACAGCTGGTGCTCCTCTGGCCTCTGATCTGATAGTCTGAGACGGGTGGGCTTGGTCCCAGGGGGCACTTGGGCTGTCTTCTCCCAGCTGCCCCCCCCGGCCCCACCCCAGGGAGGAGATCCCCGTGAGCAACGTGGCCGAGCTGCTGCACCAGGTGTCCATGGGGATGAAGTACCTGGAAGAGAAGAACTTTGTGCACCGTGACCTGGCGGCCCGCAACGTCCTGCTGGTCAACCGGCACTACGCCAAGATCAGCGACTTTGGTCTCTCCAAGGCACTGGGTGCCGACGACAGCTACTACACGGTGCGCCCCTGCCCTGCGATGCCCAGGCAGAGGCGGGTCGGGGGGCTGGAGGGTCCCTGAGCTCTGCCCAGCAGCATCTTCCCCTCCCCAGGCCCGCTCAGCAGGGAAGTGGCCGCTCAAGTGGTACGCGCCCGAGTGCATCAACTTCCGTAAGTTCTCTAGCCGCAGCGACGTCTGGAGCTACGGAGTCACCATGTGGGAGGCCTTCTCCTACGGCCAGAAGCCCTACAAGGCAGGCGTGGGCAGCGGCGGGCAGCAGGTGGCGGGCGGGGGAGGAGGCCTGGCCACGCACGCTGACCCCCGGCCCTGGCTCCGCAGAAGATGAAGGGCCCCGAGGTCTTGGACTTCATCAAGCAGGGCCGGCGGATGGAGTGCCCACCGGAGTGTCCACCTGAGATGTACGCACTCATGAGCGACTGCTGGATCTACAAGTGAGTGCTGGGGGCCTCCGTGGTTGGGCTGCCCCTGGACGCTCCCCCAGCCCACAGCCTCCCTCACCTCTGTGATCTGAGCCCCCCTACCCCTACCGACACTATAGGGCTCCCAAGGGCCAACACCCAACACCCAGACCCAACACCTACCACCTCCCCCCTAGCCAATGCTCAACACTGATCCAGCAGTTCTCAGCGCCACACCTGTTACCCAGCTCTGATGCCAGTACTCAGGGCGCGGGTCAATCCTCCCAGGATTGAGCCCTCAATATATTCAACCTCCCCTCCCCTTCTGGTTGAAGCCCAACACTCACCATCCCGCCTGCTAACCCCACGGTGGTCCCAAGTCTCCATCAGGCACGTGGAGCTGTCACTGAAGCAGTGTGAGACAGCCCGGCATCTGATAGCCCCCCAGCCAACACTGGCGTTGACACCCAGACACCCACGGCAGCCAGCAAACAGCATCCAAGCCTGGGAGTCCATCCTAGTGTAGTCTCCACGGGGAGGCACCCGGTGCACCAACCAGAGAGGCCGGCACCCAAGTGCCCGACAGGACACAATCGCCCTCTGTGGCCGTGGGTTCCTCGCCCTTGGATTCAACCCACCCAGGGTGGAAATAAGGCTTGCAAAATTGTGCCAGGAACTTGTACACACTCCTTTCCCCGTCCCTAATCTCAAATGATACAGTATAGGGACTGTTTACCCAGTATTTTTTACATTGTAGCAGGCATAGGAGCCATCTAGAGATGAGTTGAAACTAAACGGGATGCAAATACTCTAACCATTTTACATAAGGGACTGGAGCACCCACAGATCTCCCGCACCTGTGGGGAATCCTGGAGCCGATCCCCCGTGGGCCGAGAGCCGGCTGGGCAGGGGTAGCCCCCACACAGCTCCAGCTCCCACCGCCACACCACTCCCAGGACTCCAGTCTTGGGTCTGACTGCTGGCCGTACACCTGCGCCCACACAAGCGCGGCCTGGGGACTCTGACGCCCAGAGACCTCCATTGCCTGAGCCCTTCTGGTCAGCACGTGCTACTCAAGTGCCTTCTGGGACCTCACCCCCGCGAGGCCTCTCCATGACCCAGCAGCCCCACCGAGAGCCCACCCCGCGCTGAAACTGGGCTCTGGGGGTGTGGGCAGTGGCCTGGAGCTAGCGTTCGCCCCACAGGTGGGAGGACCGTCCAGACTTCCAGGCGGTGGAACAGCGCATGCGGGCCTATTACTACAGCCTGGCGAGCAAGGCGGAGGGGGCCCCGGCGGACGGCCAGGGTGCCGAGGCTGCCTGTGCCTGAGCTCGTGCCCAGCGTGGACTGCAGACCGCTGGGCCCTCGGCCGGCTCCCAGGACCCGCGCAGTGCAGCTGAGGCCGGCGGCAGGTCGTTTCCTCCCACCAGGGACACCCCAGCCCCAGCGTTCCCCATGCGGTCCCCTGCCTGGCCACGGGAGGAGGGGAGGTTTTGGGAGGGGGCCTGGTGCTGGCCCGGGATCCACTGGGGGCCCCGTCAGGAGGGAACCCTCGTTCTACTGGGCCTTGCCGGGGGGGCAAGGTGTTTGTCATAAAATAAACTCAGTTCTCTGTCGTGGGCGCTCCCTTATTTTATCCCGGGCAGGGCAGCAGCCGGGGATGGGAGATGGGAGGTGGGAGGTGGGAGGTGGGGGGAGGCCGAACCCAGAAGCGAGCCCCGGAGAGCGGCTGCTTCTCCTACCGCACCGCCCCAGACGCAGCTTTGTGAGGACGAAGGGGGAAACAGTCCAGGTGGGTGGATGCGGGGCCGAGGGTCCTGCTGGCGCCGCTTGCCTGTTGGGTGCACCTGGAGAAGTTTGCACGGAGCGCCGGGCCCCCGCCGACCACGCGAGATGCACAGGTGCGTTTTCAACTCTCTTTACCTGCTGCTCTCAGCCAGCCCCCCCCCCGCCCCCACCCCCAGCTGCACCTCCCAGCCGTCCAGGGCCCGCACAGCCACAGCTGGACCCTGCAGCCCCGGGCGACCCGAGTGCCGGCTCGGTCCTACTCCCGAGAACAGGCCCCACGCGGGGAGTACTGGGGTGTGGGCAGGCCGGACTTAACAGGTGAGCTGAATGGAAGCCGGACGCCCCCACTGCCACCCCGCCATCCTGGGCTGTGATTGGCCCCGTCCCCAGGCCCCAGCGCAGGTCCCGGGGTGGGCGTGGGCAAGACCGGAGGCGCCTCTGGACCCAGGAGTTTCTCCTTCGTCGCAGCCTGAAGCCGGCGGGGCTGGGGTGCGGGTGGCCGTTCCGTGGGACGCGGGCAGGGGCTGTCGCGCAGAGTGGGAGCGCGAGGGCCAGGCTGGTGGCTGCAGAGAGGAGGAGAGCCGGGAGCCCGGACGTGTGAGTACCCTGTCCCGCTGGGAGGCTGGCCCTGGGACCGCCAGGCTCAGACCACCTGGCTCTGACGGCGCCGGCGAGGTGGAGTTTTCTTAACTGATACCTAAGCTTCAAATGCACGTGTTTTACCACTGGTCCCTTAAGGTTGTAACCAGCATGCGAGTTAATTCAGAGAGCCCCAAGCATCGTCAGCGCTGGGCTCTGTGCGTTTGCTGTGAGAGCGAGGCTGCAATGGCCTTGAGAATGATGCGATATGATCTTTTCTTTTAATTGAAAAATGAGCAAATTAGTTCATACATGAACGGTATTACTGAATTTGAATAGCGTTAAAATCCAAACGTTGTCTTTAAATTAATTGTTTTAGAACTAAACGAATCAGGAAGAAATTACATCCGTGGTATGATCTTATGGATTCCTAAGCTGTGCTGTTTGCAGGTGTTTCAATGTTATTAAAATGTACATACTGGGCAATAATTTACATTATCGCATAAAATATATCAGGCGGTGAATACATTTTGACTTTCTTTTGTGGACACAATTATTTTGATTCATTTCATGATTATTGCTGAAAGTAGTAGTATTTTATAGGAAGGAAGCGTTTAAAAAGTGATTCACTCTGGGAGTCACCTGCGTTGGGAATAAACGCAGGCACACAGTAAATCGTGAATGAACCAAGGGCGCAGTTATACAATGAGCCACCAGGTGGCGCTGTTCCCCAAGCCAAGGTCGACTCAGTCCTTCAACTCCGGCCTCGCCTTCAGCCCCACCTCGGGAGGTCTCCTCTCCCGCCTGGAGCAGGACCTCTGGCTGCTCCCGCATCCCCAGGCCCGCAAGTTTGTCCCTGTACCACGTTCGCTGCAGGAACAATTGCAGGATTTTTCCCGCTAGCAGCTCTGGCCAAGTCCTATACCCCCCTGTAGGGTTCTCCAGACATAGCCATGCCCAGGATGGTTTTCCTGTCCCTGCTGCTAATGTCCACCAGGAAATCCTGTACTGAGCTTGCAGATTCAGCCCTGGTTTCCCTTGGGGACAAGCTGCTTACACTCCGTGTGCTTCAGTTTCTTTGGATTGGTTGGCTGGAAAGAGAAGGTAAATCCAGGGCGAGGCATGAGAAAATCTGGAAGGCAGTGGGGAGCCACAGAGGGTGTTTGAGCGGGAGAGTGCCCTAGGAGGTAAGGAGAGGAAGTCCTCCCCTTCCTCTGCCTTCTGGGGGTGTTGGGGATTAGGAGGAGGCTGTCGCTTGGGTCAGCCTAGGGACCCTCTGCGCGGGTCGCCAGAGGCTGGCCCAGAGCGTCTCCTTGCTGTCTTCCCTGGAGCGTTGTCTGTCAGCTCTGGGGTGACTCCCACAGGGCCAGCCTGTGGCTCGCGATCCCTTAGCACACACCAGGTTGGGGGCGTCAGCCCTGGAGGGGAGGTGGGGCCTCCGGCAGGAGGCGGAGGCCCTGAGAGGCTGGGCTGACGCACTTGGGATTGGCTGGGAAGCAGTGGGGAGGGGCCCTGTGGGCAGAGGGGGGCCCCAGCCTAGTGGCCGCGGGGTGGGGTGGGGGGTGCGCATGTGGTGTGGCTTCTGGGACCCCACCCACCTCGCACCGGGAGCCTAGCTAGCTGATCCTGGAGGGGAGCCTGCTCAGGGTGTTCCCCGTCTCCCCGAGGAGCCCCTGCCGGAGGGGCTCTGGCCACTGGGCCTGGCGGCTTCGTGGTCCCTGCGCAGCGGGGGCTCTCTGCGGGTCACACAGGGGGCTTGGGGCTTTTGCTCTGAGCAAGGTGTGAGCACCTGGGACTGCACAGATGGAGCTTGACACCCCCCCCCCCCCC